TCTCTCGCCCTCTCTCGCTCTCTCTCTCTCTCTCTCTCTCTCTCTCTCTCTCTCTCTCTGTGTGTGTGTGTGTGTGTGTGTGTGTGAGAGAGAGAGAGAGAGAGAGAGAGAGAGAGAGAGAGAGAGAGAGAGAGACTCACTATGTAGCCTTGGCTGTCCTAGCTCCAGACCAGGGTGGCCTTGAACTCAAGAGATTCACTTGCCTCTTCCAGTGCTAGGATTAAAGTTGTGAGCCACCAGGAGATTAAATCAGGTTTGTGTTTCTTCAGAATCATGTCAAGGTGAACAGCTTCAAATTGTTTTCTCCAAAAAAGCACTTCTGTTTGCCAGTTGTCTTTTCAGGGTTTCCTGGAGACAGGCAGCTAAATTCCTTGCCACCAGCTCCATTATTACTGTGGCAACTATCAGAGTTGAATGGAGTACCAAGGGAAGATGCCCCCCCACCCCTTATATTTTGAGATAGGGTCACTCATTGAACCTGGAACTCACCAATCTGGCTAGACTAACTTGCCAATAAGCCCCAGGAACCCCCAGTCTTCACCTCCCAGCACTGTATCCAACCTTTTATACCAGGGTGCTGGGGACTGAACTCAGGTCTTCATGCTTTTGTGGCGAGCACTTTATAAGCTGGCCACTTCCCTGGCCCTCAGCAACGTGTTTTCACAAGCTCTCCAGGTGGCTCTGATGTGCGCTCTGGTCTGACAATCCCCGTAAAGAGCGAGCAGCTATTATTACAAGCGCAGATGGCAGGAACATGAGAGATTTAAGCCCCCTCACAGCCCAGCTTTGGGCTTTCCTTTGTTGTTCAGCAAAAAGATCACTGAAGGAGCTCTCAGAATAAGGCCTATAGCACGCTGGGATATTTCAGGAAATGAGTCTGTGGAACAAATGTTGGCAGAGGGGTTGGTGGCCGGAGTGTGTTGTCTTGCCAGGGTTGTGTGTGGAATGGCAATGAGGGGATCTGGGTTGGCAGGGCGCCGCCTCACGCTGTCTCCTGCCTCCAGGAAGACACACAACAGCCAGGGATCAAGGGCTCTTTCCCTTGGTGTCCTCACGGTGCTGTTATTCACCATCTCTGAGTTACTGAGCGCCCTGAGGAGAACTCGGCAAAGGATTCTTGCAAGGAAGGCCTGAGCCTTAGGAAGGGAGGTGTGATCCATCAAAGTGGGCAAGTAACGGAAATGGGACTTTAGTTTAGCAGGGTTTCTAGTAACTGCAGAGGAAGTAGAAGGGTGCGGAAGACAGATTTGCCGGTGACCATCCCAGTACTTGGGGTGGAAACTGAGGGCTTTTATAATGTTATGCCCAGATCACAGAGTCCTGTATGTAAAAGCGAAGAGCCTTTATTTATTTATTTATTTATTTATTTATTTATTTATTTATTTATTTTGGGACAGGGTTTCTCTGAAGCTTTGGAGCTTATCCTGGAACTAGCTCTTGTAGACCAGGCTGACCTCAAACTCACAGAGATCTGCCGGCCTCTGCCTCCCAAGTGCTGGGATTAAAGGCGCCCACCACCACTGCCCTTTAGTTTTAGAGCAGGCTGACCTTGAATTTACATAAAACTGCCTGCCACTGCTGTTTTATGAGAGTTTTATGCTGTACTGGGATTAAAGGCATGCACCACCACCGCCCAGCTGAGCCTTTTATTCTTACACAAGTTTGCAAACTTGAATTCTTTGTGTGTCCATCGTATTGGAGTGGTCAGAGAGCCCCGAGCTCAGTTAGGGTTGGGTTTTTGTAGTAGCCCAAAGATGGGGGTGACGTATTCCTAAGGTTCAGGACCCCTTGTTGGCTAACATTTGTCTAGGGGTGTCCTGGTGAAAAGTGATGGGTGTGTGCTGTCAGGTGATCCTATCTACAATAGTTGGAATGTTAGGAATTTCCTTTGAGTGGTCTGTTTCTGGGTGGTCTCAGTTTGCGGTCCTTTTTGGTACCAGGTTTTGCCTTAGGGTACTACTGAAGACTCTGCCTCTCTTGGAGCTTGTCTTGGCTGGGTCCTACAATGTAACTTGGAAACAGATTGATTGAGGAGGCAGAAGGGCCTGGTGATCTCCTGTAATCCTGGTGTTAAGAAAGATGTGGTAATTGTTATTTTTTCCTCAGGGTCGGAAAGGGACACCTTTCCGTCCCAAAAGAACAACAGTAATAGCATGGTGAGTTCAAGACCAGCCTGGGCTACAAATGAAACCCTGATTAAAACCAAACAAAGGCAGAGGCGAGCTGCTGTATGAGTTACATGTGTGAGGGGCGGGAAAAAGAAAGCCTCTGTTTGAGTCCGTGAGAGTTGGGAATAGTGCATCCTGGGCACAGAACTCCTGGAATCATCTGGCTATAAGTCAGAGCACAAGCGAAAAGCATCCTTTTGTTTCTCATTCCAGAGCGCTGGGTTTTCGAGTCCGCCAAGGGTTCAGAACTGCGGCTGCAATTATGGGGGCAGGAATTGTCATTGTTGTATACCAAAAACACAAAACAACGTTAGGCGCACAAGAGGGTGTTTTCACCCGCCTCTTTTTCTCTTTTTGGTTTTTCTAGACAGGGTTACTTTGTGTAGCCCTAGCTGTCCTGGAAATCGCTCTGTAGACCAGGCTGGCTTTGAACTCAGAGATCCCCGCCTGCCTCTGCCTCCTGAGTGTAGGGAGTGCAGCCGCCTTTGCCACCAGTTTTGTTTGTTTGTTTTTTTTTTTCTCGTGACAGGGTTTCTCTGTGGCTTTGGAGCCTGTCCTGGAACTAGCTCTGTAGACCAGGCTGGTCTCGAACTCACAGAGATCCGCCTGCCTCTGCCTCCCGAGTGCTGGTTAATCGTGCTCCACCATCGCCCGGCTGCCACCAGGTTTTGGTGTTTTCTCTCCCTCTCTCTTTTTAAGACCCGGTATCAAAATGTAGTTCAGGCCCGCCCACAACTTTTTATTCTCTTTCCAGTACCTGCTGTGAATGCTGGTGTAAGATACCCTGGTTTAAGGGATAGTCTCAGGGGGTTCGACTCCCCTACATGGGTTAAAACGTATAACATTACTAAAGTATATGAATGAATGGTTCATATTCCAAGCCTTTCTCCATCCGTACCTGCAAAGATTGCATAATAATAGCACACAGCCTAGTACTGGACCCAGAGTTGGAGCTCAACAAGTTGTGTTTTTCCTTCCCCTTGACAATAGATTGGGTCCCCAGGCAGTTCCTTTCTCTCTGGGCGTCTCCATCTCCGTTCGCCCCCACAGCCTCAGCCTGGCCCCGGACGCGACGGGAGGGGAGAGGAGGGGGCGCGGTGGCAGTAGCGGGGAGCCGGCTCCCGGCTTACGTAAGAAGCGAGTCCCGCGCAGCCAGCCTGCCGGGCAGGGACGGCGCCGCCCAGCGGGATCCTGCCTAAGTCTGGCCGCGCTCCTTTCCGCCGAGGTGTGTCTCTCTCCGGCTGCTTGGGGCGGAGGTCCCCCCTGCCTAGTTTTAGGCGGTGGCCACTCTGGGGATGCGACCGTCACCAAGACGCGGTCGGCGAGCGGCTCGCGCTCAGCCCTCGTGCGGAGACCGACAGGGGCTCCCCGGGATCGCGCGCCTGGGTTGGGGGTCAGGGAAGGACCCGGGTGGGTCTAACCGACCTCTGACCCCAGAGGGCCGAGCTCGCTGGGCGGGGGCCCCAGCAGCAACTGCACCGGCGTGGCCCGGGGCGAGGAGGTGGCGGAGGGCGGGGCTGAGGGGCGGGGCCGTCTTAAAAAGCCTCTCCTTCCCTCTATAGGGGTGGCAGGCAAATCCCCGCGTGCGAAGGGTACCGAGGCAGGGGCTGTCGGGCCAAGTGCGCGGGCTGCCGTCCACGCCATCCCCCTCCCCTCCAAAGCCATGGCTTCCAAACTCCTGCGCGCGGTTATCCTCGGGCCGCCAGGCTCGGGTAAGGGCACCGTATGCCAGAGGATCGCCCAGAACTTTGGCCTCCAGCATCTCTCCAGCGGCCACTTCTTGCGGGAGAACCTCAAGGCCAGCACGGGTGAGGGGCTGGGGCAGGGGGGCGAGGGTGGAGACGAGCTCGGCGGGGTGGTAGGGCCGGGAGCCGGGCGGTCGCGGGCACGGGTCCCCCTCGGCGCCGGCGCCCTGCCCCCGCCCGCCCGCCCGCGTGTGCCCGTGCGGGCTCGTACGTGCCGCGGCGCATGCAGCCAGCCGCCCGCCCGCGCGGCTTAACCGCGCCCGGAGGAGGCCGAGGTTGGCCGGCAGCTCCTCTGACTGCACCCGTCGCTTGTGCGTGGGGAGGACCTCGCGCTCCCGGCCGAGGGAACGCGAGCCGCTCGGCGGGATCCTCACCGGCCTCTCACGCCGCTTCCCCTGTGCAGGGACCCTGTGTCCCCTGTTGCGGTCCTGCCGAGGCGCCAGGAGCTAGGGACCGCGCGCGCCGCCCACCTGTGGGAGTCGCGGCCGCCGGCGCTCTGGGACTCCGCGGCGCGCACCCCCACGGCCCCCCGCGCGCGGTCTGGCCTGGAGCCAAGCGCTGCATGGCGGTGAAAGGCCTGTGGTCGCTGCAGGCGTCCGCGGCAAACTGTCCCCGCCAACTCCCCTCCTCAAGCTCTACTTGGCCGCCTGGAGACCCGGAGACTCGTTCTGATAAATTGCATTTTTTAGTTCAGCCTTTCTGCCAATGGCCTTTTGAGACTGTCCCTCGGCGGGTGCGGTAAAGTTGGCGATCTAGATTGCCCCATCTCTCCCCAGTCTTGCAAATTCTCCCTCTCCCCTCTTCGGCTCCGGGATCCAAAGGAATAAGCATGAGAAAACCAAGCGTTAGCGAGGAACTGCGGGGCGCCTACCCTTCTAGGATGCAGATGAGCGTAATTGAGCAACTCCCTTCTGAAGCTGAGGTCCTTCCCTAGCTCTGTTCTCACCTGTGTCCAAGTGGTTATCGCTCCTTCTGGACTAATTGTTCCTGAATCTGCATTTCAGAAGCGGCTGTAAGTATGAGCTGGTGGGTGGAGGACAAGGCTGGAAAGCAGATTGATAAGGACCACTTCAAGCATCTGGAAGGCTGTTGATTCTTCCTCTGAAGCCGGTTATAAAATCCAGTCTTTATTTGGATTCTCGGGGCACCTTCCCTCTTAACCTGTGTCTGAGATAATAGTGTACCACTTTGTATTTTGTTACCTCGCGGGAGGCCCCCTTTGGCCCCATCACTGAGGATTGATTGAACCCAGGCCTTCGAATGGGCTAGGCAGTTACCACACCCCTGAACGACGCTCAAAACCGGTTTTAAGTTAAAAGGTAAAATCTTACTTGTATGTGAGTGTGGTTTTTCCATTGTGCCTGTGGCACTTAGGTCCTCGGCCTAGGTGTCAAGCGCCTTTATACTTGGAGCCTTCTCTCCCAGCCCTTAGATTTACGATAGGGCCTTATTAAGTTACTAGGCGTTTATCTGTCTCAGCTGGGGTTATGGGCGGACCCCCACCCCCCAGTTAGATTCTTTTTCTCCACCAAGGATCGAACTTCACGCGGACGTGAATGCTTGCTAGACTGTACTCCTGAGCTACGAGCCTCCCGGGCTCCTTGTTTAATGTACTCCAGTATTTGCCTCTCTCCTCTTTTCTAATGCACTCCTTCAGAGTTTGGAATACAGTTTGGGAGGGGGCAACCTGACGGCGGTTTGTGTGTAGGATTGGACTTCTAGATTAGGCTATAAAGGGTAGCTGAGACAAGGCTAGCGGAATGTCCATCCCTCTTCGTAGCATCCTCCGGACCTCTGGAATGAAGGACTAGTGGCCTTTGGGCGGTAGCGTTAGCCACCTTTCTTGGTGGCTTTAGGCCGCCGACTGGCCTCACCCAAAGGCCATGCACTTGATCTCAAAGTCACCGTTTACTGCCTATAGTTGATGGTCTTCATACTTGAGGCAGGTGGCGAAATCTGGCAGCTTGCTAGTCAGGGCAGCCTGATTGAGGATATGCTTCCCTTGATGGTGCTCCTCCTTGTGTGGAGAAGGAAGGCAGCCTCCTCCTGGTGCTCTGTCTCCGAGGCTCTGCTGTCCTGGCTGCTGCACGTGGGGGCAAAGACTTCTGCTGGCTCCTCAACCTTCAATCTAATCTATGTGATCACTGTGTTAGCATTGCCTGAATGCTGGAACTAGCTACGGAGATCAGTCCAGCCTCAAACAGAGATCCGTCTACCTCTACCTCCTGAGGGCTGAGTTTAAAGGCCTGTGCCTCCCTCCACACCTGGCCTCCTTTTCACTTTTTTAAAGAGTTTTACGAGGAGCCCGGTGGTGGTGCTGGCGGTCCACACCTTTAATCCCAACACTTGGGAGGCAGAGGCAGCTGGCTCGCTGAGTTCAAGGACAGTCTCCTCTACCAAGAGCTAGTTCCAGGATCCAGAGCTATAGAGAAACTGTGTCGAAAAACATACAAACAAACTAAAGAAGAACTTTTAAGAGAGGCGATATTTTTCTTTACTAACTTTTTACTTGGCTGTCTTCTCACTTTTAAAAAAGTGTTATTATATGTATGAATATTACATCATTATGTGAGCCATTTTCATGTCTCGTCCTTAAGTCGGTCAAAAGAGGGCGTCAGGTCCCCCGAAACTAGAGTTAAGATGGTTGAGACGTGGTATGGATACCGGAAACCGGATGCAGGTCCTCTCGAGCATCCAGTGCTCTTCACCACTGAACCACCTCTCCATTCCTTATCATTTTTTAGGTTTTTTTTTTTTTTTTTTTTGGTTTTTCGAGACAGGGTTTCTCTGTGGTTTTGGAGCCTGTCCTGGAACTAGCTCTTGTAGACCAGGCTGGTCTCGAACTCACAGAGATCCGCCTGCCTCTGCCTCCCTAGTGCTGGGATTTTAATTTTAAGACAGTGTCTCACTATGTAGACCAGACTGGCTTGGAACTCAGATCCAGCGACCTCTGCCTGTTTAAGACTGGGATTAAGGTGTGTTCCACCATATCCTGCCCTGCTCTCAGGTTTTAAAATACCAGTTAATTTTCTTCTATAGTGTCTCCCCCTCCTCCCTCATAGGGTTTCTCTGTGTAGATCTGGCTGGCCTTGAACTCACAGAGATCCAACCTTTCAAGTGCTGGGAAAAACCTGCAGGTTTCTATTCTTTTAAATGCCTTCATTCCTCCACCCTTTTCTCACGTAGTAAAAGTGACTTAAATGTTTTGGCGAATCATCCCGCCCCACCCCCTTTTTAATCTCTCCCATTAACTAATTAAAAAAAACTCGACTAGGCAAAGAAGTGATAAAAGACTGCAATTTGTTTTGAAAGTGGCATGTTCCTAGGTGTGTGATGTCCCACACTTCTCTAGAAGTCTCTTTGAGAGTCTTAGGGGCCACTCTGTCTTGTAAGAACAGGATTATGCAGGATTTTTTATTTCCTGCCACCCACCTGCTGCTTGCTTTTTAACCTCCCAGGGAAGCCAAGAACCCTTCTGGATATACAGTTTATGGTTGGAGTCTGGAGATGATGACGAAACACAGAGACCCCCAGGAAGTCAGGAAGTCAGTAGCGATTTCAGTTGGAAAGTGTAGCTCCTGCCATCTGCTTCAGCCTGGATTTATTTGGGCAGGCTCTTGCCTACACGGCTTGCCTCCTGCAGTCACAGTCTGGCTGGCAGAACGCTGCCCTGCAGGAAAGGGCCTATCTGACCTCAGTGCTCTGGAGAAGGAAGTCTTCTCTCTGGCCTGCAGGATCCATCTTCTTCCTCTGCGTGTACCATGTTGATTGTATCAGCTGTTAGTTGAGTCCTGAAGGCCTGTAGCTGTCTGCTTCATCCACTGGCCGCACATCTACTGGGGTAGTATGCCTGAGGGTAATCACATTGCTTAAGAAAATGATGTACCTTTAGCTTTTCCCTAAAAAGTTATCCATCCGTCCATCCATCCACCACCCCTCCATCCATCGATCTGTCTATCGAGATGAGGCTGTGTATGTCAGCTTGGCCTTTAACTTCCCCAAGTAGCCTAGGCCAAAGCTGAACTCTTGAACTACCCAGCTACCAGGTCCAGGGTTATAAGCACGTGCCAGTTGGAGCAGCTTAATGGTGTGAGCCTCTTACTCTACCTTCTCCTGATAGTATGTGTTTTACCCCTGAAACTGGGGTCTGGCAAGCTGTAATGCAGCGAAAAAGGGTTCCTACCGTCTGTACTGAAGGTACAAGTCCAGTGCTAAGATTGTGTGTGCTGTACCAGAAGTTTACACAGGCTGCTGCTGTTGGGTGAGTTTTGGATTGTGGTTAGGAGTGAAGCCTACAAAGGACTTGAGATTATCTTTTGCGATAGTTGCTTTTCCCTTGGCCTTCCCTGGACTGCCTGGAGCTGTGCAGGCTGAGGCTTATCAAATACCTTCTTTGAGGACCCACCTCCAGGTCTTTAGCTCGTATTTTCTTAGCACACACTGTGAAGAAACAGAAAAGGCTTGCCTTATGTTGCAAGGACCCTGCATTCTCTCACTGGGAGTGTTAGCTCCCCTCTTCTCCACCCATACCACCCACGTGTGTGTGTGTGTGTGTGTGTGTGTGTGTGTGTAAGCACATGTATGCTTGCACATACAAAGCAGGTCCACTATAGAATGAATCCCATCAAAACATTCTGTTTGTGGCGGGAATGTGGTTCAGTTGATGGGTGCTTGTCCTTCACTGACAAAGTACTGGTGGGTTTGAGTACCTGGTGTGCACATCTGTAATATACATAGGTCCAGATCAACCTGGGCTAGGGCCCCGTGGGGAAAATCTGTCTCAGAAGGAACAACAAAAAACCCTCCAGAACTCTGATAGCTTTCTTTGTTAGGTTTTATCTGAAGGATATAAAGATCCTGTTTTAAGGCTCAGATAGTGGTGTTAAAAAAAAAAAAAAAAACAGGCTTCTTTTAATATTGGAGTCTAGTATCTCAAGGGTAAAAGAATTGGAGAAGTTCCATTTGGAAGCATCTTGGGCTTGACTAAAGAAAAGATGTTCAAGAAGGAACCTGTTTCTGTTCTTATTAATTAATATTAACTGCAGCTCCTGCCAGGGTTTTAC